TTAATAGAAAATTTTAAAAAAAATGTAGTTGATGTGGCATCCAGAGGAAAATAGTGAACAGAAACTACATCTTGAAAATTATTGAGAATGAAGCAGAGAGACATAGAGATCACATTTTTAAATATAAGGGAAATCAAGAGACATGACAAACAGAATGAACAGACTAAACATTCATCTACTCAAATTTCCAGAATGAGAAGAGAAAATGAGACACTAGCTTTATCGAGTTAATGGCTATGAATTTTCCAGAACTGATCAAAGATAGGACTCCTAAAATTCAAGGATTCCAACAAAGCCCTGGCAGGAAATAGAAAAGATACCTTCACCTTATCACATCATAGTGAAATTATAGATAGAATATCTTAAAAGTTGTCAGCAAGAAAAGACAATCAGACTGACAGATGAATTTTTTTCATCAACCATGGAAGCAAGGAACATGAGAGTAAAATCTTTAATAAATTAGAAAAGAACAAACAAGTAAATATTCATCTTAGATCTATATACCTGGTAAAGACATTCTTTAAAAATAAGGATAAAATAAATAAATTTCCAGATAAATAAAAACTAAAACTCTCTCATGAACAGATCCTCACAAAGGACATTTAAAAGTATGTACTTAAGATGGTAGGAAAGTTATCCAGATAATCTAATTTATGTAAAGAAATGTGATAAAAGTGGTAGTAAATACGAGGATTAATTTTAAGAGTGACCATGTACAACAAGAATAAAGACAAAAATAAAATAAAATATAAGACAATAGCACAACAACATGTATAGTCCTTGTACGGCTTTAAGGAGCAAGAAGCAAAAGCAACACTACTGACATTTAAGACCAGATTGATAACTCTTTGTGAGAGTTTTCTTGTGTATCATAAGCTATTCAACAGTATCTCTGGTCTCCAACCACTAGAGGCCAGTAGCAGTCTCCCAACTGTAACAACCAAAACTCTCTCCACACTGTCTAACCCCCACACCCGACACCCCACAACCCCTCCCTGAGGAGAACTGTCCCTAGTTGAGAACCTTTGTTCTAGAGCAGTGGTTCTCAACCTTCCTAATGCCACGACCCTTTAATACAGCTCCTCATGTTGTGGTGACCCCCAACCATAAAATTATTTTTGTTGCTACTTCATAACTGTAATTTTGCTACTGTTATGAATCGTAATGTAAATATCTGATATGCAGGATGTATTTTCATTGTTACAAATTGAACATAATTAAAGCATAGTGATTAATCACAAAAACAATATGTAATTATATATGTGTTTTCTGATGGTCTTAGGCGACCCCTGTGAAAGGGTCGTTCGACCCCCGAAGGGGTTGGGTGTCACAGGTTGAGAGCTGCTGTTCTAGAATGACCACTAAAATAATGTCTCTAATTTAAGATGGAACACTTGCTCTGTATCAAACCCCACTAAAATAAAAATGGTGAGATATCCTTTAAAAGTCCTAAACCCACAAGAAGAGGGAAAATAAAGAAGAGCCAACAGTCACAACACTCTGGAAGTTGAGACACAGATGAACAAGAAAGCAGAATCTAAACTGGTGGGAGTAGGGAATGAAGTTGGGAAGGGAAGATGAAATCCAATAAATTTATAGAGAAGAATCTTCAAATGGCTCAAGAACTGACGGTATTCCTGGAATTGGGGCTGAAAGCAGGGATACTACCGGGCTGCTGGTAGTGCACCTCTTCCTTATCTCAGCACAAGTATAGGTATTTATTCCCTCTCAAAAGAGAAAAACAGTACAATTCTTAGTTGGAAGACAACTAAGACAACATAATTAGGACATGGGTACCAACAGAAAGAGGGACTAAGGGATTATATGCAAACTGAATGCTAACTACCAAGATCCTGGCAGCCCTGACTTTCTACATAGAAGATTTTAAGACTTCTGTGGAAACCGATTAGTCTAAAACAGTGGTTCTCAACCTGTGGGTCGCGACCCCTTTGGCAGCCGAACGACCCTTTCACAAGGGTCGCCTAAGACCATCCTGCATATCAGATATTTACATTACGATTCATAATAGTAGCAACATTACAGTTATGAAGTAGCAACGAAAATAATTTTATGGTTGGGTCACAACATGAGGAACTGTATTTAAAGGGCTAGAAGGCTGAGAACCACTGGTCTAAAAGGAAAGAGCTAATGGTTCTAACACTGGGGACTCACCAATAAGCAGATGATCCGCCTGCCATAAAGTTCAAAATGCCTTGCAAATGTAAGAAAAAAATGATTTCCAACCAGAATTCTACATTCAGGCAAACTAGCAATTAAATATGAGAGCAGAATATAGACATTTTAACAAAGTCTCAACTTTGCCTCCCATGCACAACCTTTCCCAAGAACCAGAAGATATGACTCAGCCACTTTGAAAATATCTATTTTTATACAATTTGTAAGCGGAGACTCTGATATACAAAACACTCTTTTATCTAATGAAATTGTAAGCTAAAAAAACATGTTAAAAGTTCTAGTGTGTACTTTAAAATTCCTTTAAATTATTCTACAATTTAGCCCTTTCCCCAATCTCCCAAATTACAAGATTTTACTTTATTGTTGATACACAGGATAATTTATTTTCAAATCTTTCTAGGTCTACAATTCAAATAGTTTTTCTAACATTTTTTTATTACAATAACCAGAAACAATTTCTCTCACTATTCTCAATCTCATTCTTGAACACTAAACGTACAATTTACCACCAGACCAGAGCTATTAATAACCAACTAAAACACAGGACAGAAGAGGGGTTATTAACTACAAAAAGCTTTTAGATTCAGTTAAATACAAGAGGTGTTACCTGATTTTTCCAGCTCCTGAAGATACGTTTTTATTATACAAGCCAGCTGTTTTTTATAAGGGCAGGGTGTTCTATGCAAGTGCTGAGCCCCAGTTTATTGAACAGCAGGATTTAACACCCTTTTATGAACCCTAATGAAGCTTTTCCTGCATTTCTAGACAGTCCCAAGGAATCTCTACAAACCTCTGAGGTAAGTATTTCTCAAAATACAGCTGGCCAATTCACTGCACCACCCTTTGAGAAGTGTGGGGAAAGGTGAAACCAAGGGTACAGGGGAAAGATAGTATGAACACCTGTCAGAGAAAATAATGATTTTGAAATACACTGTAAGACTTACTGGATGGCTCATTTGTAGCAGACCACTAGATTATACTTATCTCCCTTACATATAAATAAAAAGTGATCTTGTACCTCTGTCAGAAACTGAGAAATATCCTGGTAGCATACCAAACCAATAAAGTATCAGTTTTAATCAGTTAAATATTTGTTTTGGTGTATTTGACTAAGTCACATCATTTTTTTTTCCTTCCTTTTCTAAAAAAAAAAACATCACTGCATGGGCAGTAACAGTGATTGAAATATCACCTAGCACATGAGCACATGAGGGAAACCACTGACACTACACAACTTTAATCCAGTTAATTCTGCAACTAGTAAGCACACTACAAGGTTAGCTTCTGTCTATCAGTTAGAGATTAGACAGTAACTAGCATTAACATAATAAAACCTGCAAAGAAGATTTGATATTTTAGAGATTTCAAGTGCACTATCATTTCAATACCAAGACACAAACCTATTCACTCCTTTTGCTCTGAATGATTAAAAATAAAAGAAAGTTTTATAACTCACTGGTCAACTCCTTGATTACTCATACCTCTTGATCTCCTGGATTTTGGAAATCTTTGCTAATGCTTGTATCTCGAGTCCATCGAGGGGGTTTCCAAGTTCTTTCCTGTGTTCCTCTGTTATAGTAATAACTACGCCCCGAAGTATCTTTATGAGTTTCCCATTCTCCATTAATTTGAATTGCTGGGCTCCCAGGAAGTGGGGGAAGAGTAGACTGGGATATTTTCAGCTCTTGTAGATTAGCATAGACAGGAGAATCTGGACGTCCTTGATTTGGAGGTGTCGTTGCCTGTGAAAAATTTGAAGTATTCATATTTAAACTAGCATATCATTTATAAATTAAAATTAAATTAAACACAAGATTTATAAAGATACATCTTAAAATTCATTTTAAAACCTATACAGGAAGTTTCTTTTTAAGGAAGTAAAGATTTAACAGTTTCAATATCCCTAGTTTCAAAGAAATTAAAGATTCAAAGAGAATCCAGTGTGATTAATAACTTTCCCTCACTCTGAAAGAATATACAACTAGAAATCAGAAGCTGTGGGTTCTAGTCCAAGATGTGGCACTAACAAGTTATATGACACAGGATCAGATCACTTCATCTCTCTAAAAATGAATTTTTTTTATTGGTTGTAAATGAGGAAATTGAATTAAACAACCTGCGTCTCCTTTGGCTCTAAAATTCTATTATTTTAGGCAATTTTTAAAATATAAAGAGCCTTGCTCTAGCTGGTTTGGCTCAGTAGATAGAGCATCAGCCTTCAGACTGAATGGTCCCGGGTTCGATTCTGGTCAAGGGCACATGCCCGATTGCACACTCAATTCCCAGTAGGGGGTGTGCAGAAAGCAGCGGATCAATGATTCCCTCTCATCATTAATGTTTCTATCTCTCTCTCCCTCTCCCTTCTACTCTCTCTAAAAATCAATAAAAAATATTTAAAGATATATATAAAGACTTACACATGAGTAACTTAGCAACTTCTCAGAAAACTATCAAAAGAAATAATTTTATATTCAAAGCTTTAATATTAAATCAGGAATATAAATAAAAGAAAAAGGAGATAGATTACTTCAGCTAAGAATTTACTACATTCTATTCCTTCTCAGTTACAATTTCTAGGTAGCCATAAACATATAATTTAATTTATTCCTAGTTTCTTTGTGAACTTCCTAAAAGTGGAAAAGTAAGAATGAGCAATAACTCTCTGATTTACAAGCTTAATCTCAAACTAGATATTTTGTTTTAAATGTCTCACTACATGTCAAGAGCAGAATACTCTTCATACACTTTGCATAAAGACACTGTAAACTGGGTTGCTAGAATTCTAGTTGCTGAAAAAAAGCATTCGTCTGAGAACACCTTTTTATATTGTGCATGCACATTTATGTATATACTAGAGGCCCTGGGGGGGTGGGGAGATCCCTCAGCCCGGCCTGCCCCCCTCACATTCTGGGAGCCCTCAGGTGAGGGAGGCAACCTGGCCATCAGGGGAAGGCAACGCCCCATCACACCTCTGCTGTTGCCACTGCCAGCAGCCCAAGCCTCGGCTGGCCCTGGTTACCTGCGCCTCTGGTGGCCCTGAGCAGCTGGGCACCCGCCATCTGAGGCTTGCATGTGCCTCGGGCGGCCCTGGGCAGCTGGGGGGCTAAGGGGACTGGGGGACTCCGGAGGCAGGCACCTGCCACCCAGCAGGGTTAAGAGAACCGGTACACCTAGTATATCAAACTAAAAAGCTTCTGCACAGCAAAAGAAACCGTCAACAAAATAAAAAGGAAACCCACTGTATAAGAGAACGCATTCACCAATGATACATCTGATAAGGGATTAATTTCCAAAATATATTAAGAACTTATACAATTCAACATCAGGAAGACAAACATTCCAATTAAAAAATGGGCAAAGGACCTAAATAGACACTTCTCCAAAGAGGTCATACAGATAGACTAGAAATATATGAAAAAATGTTCAACGTCACTAATCATCAGAAAGATGCAAATTAAATAATAAAGAGGTATCACTTCATACCTGTCAGAATGGCTATCATCAACAAATAAACAGTAAGTGCTGCCAAGAATGTGGAGAAAAGGGAATCTTAACTTCAGTACACTGCTGGTAGGAATGCAGGCTGGTGCAGCTACTATGGAAAACAGCATGGAATTTCCTCAAAAAATTAAAAATGGAACTGCCATTCCGTTTTCGCTTCTGGGAATATATCCTAAGAATCCCAAAACACCAATCAGAAAGAAATATGCACCCCTATGTTCATAGCAGTGTTATCCCATATAATAAAAGCCTAATATGCCAAGTTATGGACTGAGCGCAACAGGCTGGACACTCCTTGGAGCCCTCCCGCGGCCCCTCCCCAGCCCCAATCGTGCATCAGTGGGGTCCCTCAGCCTGGCATGCATCCTCTCACAATCTGGGACCCCTTGGGGAATGTTGGAGAGCCGGTTTCAGCCCAACGGCAGAACAACCAGTCGCTATGATGCTCACTGACCACCAGGGGGCAGACACTCAACGCAGGAATTGCACCCTGGTGGTGAGTGCCCTCCCACAGTGGGAGCGCTGCTCAGCCAGAAGCCGGGCTCATGGCTGGCGAGCACAGCAGTGGTGGCGGGAGCCTCTCCTGCCTCCGCGGCAGCTCTAAGGATTTCCAACTGCCAGCTCACAGGGAGTGGGCCTAAGCTGTCAGTCGGACATCTCCCAAGGGCTCCTGGACTATGAGAGGGCGCAGGCCAGGCTGATGGACTCCCACACACACACCCGAGTACACAAATTTCGTGCACCAGGCCTCTAGTTTACAATAGTTAAGATCTGTTAACAGCCCAAGTGCCCATCAGTTGATGAGTGAATATAAAATCTATGGTATATTTACTCAATGGAATACTATGTGGTTGTAAAAAAAAAAAGAAGAAGAAGAAGAAGAAACTCGTACTCTTTGGGACAGAATGGATGGACCTGGAGATTAATATGCTAAGTAAAATAAGCCAGTCAGAGAAAGACAAGTACCATAGGACCTCACTTATATGCAGAATCTAATGAACAAAATAAACTGACAAGCAAAATAGGTCCAGAGGCATGGATACATGGAAGATCTCTGAGAGGAGGTAGATAGGGTGGGGAGTTTGGGGGGACTGGAAGAGATTAACCAAAGAACATACATGCATATACATATAGCCCATGGACACAGAAAATAATGTGGTGAAGGCCAGGGGTGGGACAGGGGCTGGGTGGAGGGGAGCAAAGAAGGGGAAATGGAGGTCATCTGTAATACTATCCACAGCAACAAAAACTATAAAGAAAAAGTCAGTAATAATACCAAGATGCTTTTATTCAACATTGTATTGGAGGTCCTAACAATGTACAAAGGTCTGAAAAATGAATTAAACTCATAAATACCTAGAAGAAAAAAATACTGACATTTGTCACTGACATAATCAATATCTGAAAACCCAAGTCCATGAAAATTACTAAGCTTTTTTGTTGTTTTTGTTGTTGTTGTTAACGCTCACCTAGGATATTTTTTCTATTGGATTTTTTTTTTATGGGAGAGTGAAAGGGAGATATAGAGAGAGATACAGAGAAAGAGGGAGAGAGAAAGAGAGAGAAACATCAATGTGAGAGGGGCACATCCATTAGCTGTCTCCCACTCATGCCCCAACCAGGGCTGGAGATAGAATCCACAATCAGGTACGTGCCCTTGACTGGAAATCAAACCCATGACCCTTCAATATGCAGGCTGACGGTTTAACCACTGAGCAATACTGGCCAGGGTGAAAATCACTAAGTTCAATTGGCTGGCCAGATACAAGATCATCTAGTCAGTTTCCCATATATAAGCAATGACAAGTTGGAATTAACAGGATAAAAAAATCTCATTCACACTAGGAAAACAAATATTTTAACACTAATAAGCTCTAAAAGAAAGGTAGAAAACCAAGTGAGGAATAGTAGTAGAACTTTCCTTAGGCACCGAAAATTATACTTGAATATACACACCTTTGTTCCTAAATGGAACAACTACACTTTGTAAACATGTACTTCTCCAATAATCTACTACTATAAATGCTACAAATTCAATGCAACGTTTAGCACATAATATGGTTAGTATAATGCCTAGCACACAGTAGCACTTAATGAAATTTACTGAATGAATGAATGAACACACATGTGAACAAAAGAATACAAACACACATGCCAAGTAAAAGCAAAATTAAAGACTTGGAATTGGTTACATGTGAGGAATCTAAGAAAACACCCACATTTCCAGTTTGGATAAAAGAATGGGCAGTTGTGCCAGCACCTAAGATAGAAACTACCTAAAAAATGAGTGTAAACTAAGGTAGGTGCTAATATTACAACTATGAATAAAAAAATTATTGTGCCTTAAGACTTCATAATATAGGAAAAAGAACATTATAAACTGATGAACAAAAATAG